TCTACTCACTTTTGGCGTCACTAGTGAGGAGATTGGCTCGGTGTCGTGGGGAGAGTAAGATGTGGCTTGCATGGAATGTGACCTTCCTGGCGTTTTATGAACGGCTTCCGTCTGCGCTGTGTCGCTGGATCTCAGGTGGCTCTGAAGATCCTCATTCAACTGCGCTGGTGGATTCAGGGATGATTCAAAGAAATTGTATGACGTTGAGGATTGCGCCAAGTCATGAGTTGACAAACCGTTCTGCGGCCCAACATGTCGTATATGATCCCCATAAAATCCAGTAATGTCATTGGTAGAGTAACCGTGGCCGTGGTTTTTGCCATTGAGAAGCGCCATGTCTTGCGATGTGGGAGTAACGAATGCATTAGGCTGCAGAGCACCAGGACTCTCCTCGTGATGATTGTACTCATCGTAATTCGACACTGCCATGTTCAGAAGAACTGGAGACTCGCCAGTCGCTGAGCCATTGTCCGGCTGGTTGCCGCAAGCAGATGCCTGGACCTCGCGGATAACTGCATGTTGAGCATCATCGTCGTCGAAAAGCCGTTGCTGCGCAAGTCCAATTTCCGTCATTACTGAACCTGCATTAATTGATCACGACCATTAGTCACCAGTGTATCCATGAGAACTCTCATGTAATTAACGTTTAAGACTCACCAATTGACCCCGCCCCAGCGTCAGACGGAATCCACCTCTCCTCCCTCCGTTGCTGAGAGGCAGAGAAGCCATTTGGCGCCGTTTCCTGCGACTGTAGGAATGCATCAAAGTCAACAGCAAGATGATTTCCATGATCTATATCTTGCGCTTCTCCGCCTGTTGTTACAATTCCAGATTGCTTATTGCAAGTGTTGATATTATCAACATGATTCTTTGGCTGCTCCAGGGCCCGCTTGACTTGGGGCGGCATCTCCGACAAAGGATCGTCCTCATCGTCAGAGTCTTGAATTACTCTATCAAAGGACATTTTGTGAAAGATACATATACTCCTGTAGAGATACTGGACGACAATCGGTAAGAGGGGAAAATCCGCTTATCAGTCTACATTTATGTTCGTTATCTCACGCGTCAAGTGGGCGGAATCATGGAACGGAACGACGCGCGAGCACGTGCTGATAAGAAATTGATAAGGCAATTATACTGCTAGGCATCAAGGCAACAAGGCATGAAGGCATCAAAAACAGCATGCATTGGTATCACACTGGAATCGGCGACAAAATCATCATAAGCGCTAGCAAGTATCATGATTCCATGGTACTCTGCGGCCGCATCACACCTCGACCGAAGAACTCACTAACGACGCCGAATCGATCCTTTGCTCGTTGAAGCTCTCCCTTGAAGAGATCATGTTGATCAGCTGACTCCACTTGTCTCCTCCTGATAGCTTTGATGGTGGAATTTTCTTGCGCACACATTGGGCATTCCGCATCTTCATCTACCTTATTGAGGCAACGTTGATGAAATGAGTGCTTGCAGAGGAAGTGCACAGTAGGAAGGTCCAGAGCTCCACCGCACGACATGCACCGACGGGCCTGAAAAACGACGGGCTTAGTGCCCAGTTGCTCGATTTCTTGCCTTTTCTTCTCGGTTTCCGAGCTATAGCTCGATATCAAGCGACGATTCTAGGGCACATATTAGCTCAAATTAGGTGGAAGATCGACAGAAAGCAACCTACAGTAGAAATCTCTTTCCGCTCGCGCTCGATATTGTCGCTGAGATACTTCTTGACTCGACCCATGGTAACCACAGAGTTGTTGCTCAATGCTTGTATTACTTGTAATGGCGACATCAACCCGTCATCGTGGATTCTTTTGAGTACTACGTCGAGTTCTTCGCCAGCTTCCTCGAGGATGGCCGGACTTGAGGCGAAGTATGTCAGAGCGTCCACATATAGCTGAGGCTCTTCCGGTCCATACTTCCGCAGAGCTCTGATAGCTCCGTGGGTGTCCCTTGCCGAGGTAAAAGACCGGAATATGTCAGACCGAAGCCCTTCTTGCTCACGTACGAGAGTTGATCCCTCTCGGAAATTAGACAGATCTGATAAGAGAAGTACGTTTGAAGTCGAGATCGGAATCTAGAAGGCAATGAGAGACGAAGCTAAAGCTGGAGCAAGAGMACTTACGTCTTTCCCTTCGATGAGAGTTTTGGCTTTGTTTTCCCACTCTTCTTTTTCAGCAGACCCCTTCTTGCGATTTGCTGTATCCAGGTACATCTCAAAGAGTGTTGTGTAAATGTCGACTTTGTCCTCCTCCTTCAGGGTTTCCAGGTCGATCAGCGACTCCAGGAAAGCAATGAATTCTTGCGGGTGGCCCACAAAAGCCGAGAAAGCTGTCCTTGGTCTCGGAATTTCATAGCTTGGAGCCGGCTCTGCAATTTTCGTCTCCTCGTCAAGAATATCCTTGTGCTTTTCAGCTTTCGCTCCGGAACCCGCATTAATCAGAGACAAAGGAAGGAAACCAGCCAGGCTTTGCAAAGTACTGGTCGGCTGTGTCTGGGGTGCGGCTGGGACCTCCACATCTGTTCTTGGCCTATACTGGCCCTTATAGTACGCCATGAAGAGTTCCGTAGTCTCTTGAGGGCAATTTGCCAGCAGTACCCGGGCATATTTCATCAGGTTATGGTAAGCCTTTATTGGATTAGCCTGGAAAATCACAAGGGTACGAATGCCATTACGAACCAAGTCCGGCTCAAGCCTCCAGATGTATTCCACGGCTTCAKCGTACTTCTTCGAATCCTCAATCAGGATATCGATGACCATGTCATTTTCACCGTATTTTGTAGCCAAATAGGCTGCCTGCTCATAATAACCTCCTTGTCGGCACATAGCGATGGCCGTCTCCAGGTCAAACTTGAGCTCCCCTGGAGCTTTGATAAAGGAATTCAGCTTGTCCGTATCCTTAAGCTTGGCGTAACAGTTCAGAAGGAGCGTAGTGTGATCAACGGTAGCTCGGTCGTGATCGTGAAGTTCTTCAAGATACTCAATGAGGTTATGGATACGCTGCGTATCAAGGTACTGCGATCAATTCAGTCAGATATAAGCTTATTAACCAAGTGCAGGCAGTAATACCTTCCGTATAACCTGCGATGGTTCAGTATTGTGAATAGCCCGTAGGTATTGCTGCATGGCCGTGTCGTAATCGCCTTTCTGGTAGAGGAAGTCGCCATACTTGCGATAGATGGCATTCTGCTGTAGAGTGTCAATGCCTTTTTTCTGCGCAAGATTGATGGCCAGTATGTAAAGATTGCGTTGGTAGAGTATCTCCAGCTTCTGCTGGAGGCTCTTTTCTCGGTAACGGTATACCTGCCCGTCTATTAGCTATAGAAATACTCATTCTCATCATTGGATTGTACCTTTCCATCTGTCGAAAGGAGGAACAAGTCGCCCCATTCTATGAAAACATGCTTGACAGACGCTGCCAGAGATTCCGAATGAGCTATAAACTTGAGATCCGTATCAAGCAGGGTGAAGGTCGTTGTGCTGAAGATCTCCTCGGCCTGGCTGCGAAGGTTTCCCAAGGTAGCCCTTGGAGGACATACCAGGGCCACATAGTCTCTGAATACGTTGATCGAGTTCTTCGGGCTATCAAATGCATAACTTGGGCCACGCCCATGCGGCCCATAGGTGTATATAGCGTCCTCCCTAGCAACAACAATGTCTCCGGTGTCTTTGTCAAGCGCCATGCAGCCAACTCCGCAACCAGAGTCATCCAATACACGCGCCGGTTGACCTTGTCCTCTGCCGGAGATGACCAAGGTCAATATTCGACTCGTTGTCGAGATAAAGAGTGTCGATAACGCCCCGCGTTGTACCTCGAGCCCAGTAATCGGCTCCTCCGACTCGAAGACAATGCGTTGTCGTGCACCACGATCATGGATCAAGTCGCCGCGAATGATTGTGACCGATCCGTTGCCAAATCCCACCGCTACCTGCGACAGATCTTCCAGAGCCGCGAAGGCAGATATCTATACCTCGTCCAATGATCAGTTATCTGAGCCGTACGTCAACCTAGGGAAAACAAACAGGAAACGGCCTCCGCGCATTCTGTATCGACGTTGTAGACAAGCAACGCGGAACTCCGGTTTTCTTCTCAGGTTTGTCGAGCGCCCACACTTTCAACACGGGCTCGTTGGGGAGGTCTTCCGCAATGGTTACAAGCAGTGACGTGCCTTCTATCTGTTTAATGTGCGTAATGGAGCCATTGTCCGCTGCCTTGAAAGATCGTACGATCTTGAATCCGGCGGAGACGATGTGTACCACGCCATCGGTAGATGCGATGAAAAGATTAGAGGAGCCGGCGCTGAGAGACGTGAGATCGGACTAAGCAGATTCGGATATCGTTAGAATTCAGACTGCGAACAACGGGTGATTTTGAGGGAGCCAATCGTGTACTTTTAATATTGACGAGCAGTCTTCTGGAAGTTTGACCGAGGAGACGTCAAAGAAGTTGAACGCTTTCCACTGGCAAGAACGAGTCAGTATTTTCTGAGAGCTCCATTTCAGTGAGTAGAAGAGCATACTGATGTCAGAGCCATTTGAATGAAGTCAAGTCCGCGCCATCAACAGGATGCGGTAAGCAAAGGGAGTGGAGGTCGGTTGATCATTCTGTACTCCGTATCTCGATTCCAGGCCGCAAGCGCAATCGCGGAGCTGCGCCGCGCTAGTACCTCATCCCCGCAGACCACAGCTCAACCCAACGTCATCTTTCCCTTCTCACAGTTGTTGACAATACTGCTCATTTAGTGATACGAAAATGATTAATAGATGCTTGTTTTATCTTGCCCAGAATTGTTGCATTTAGCATCGTTATCGATAGATGTTTTTACATTAATTGACCAATATTTAATGCTTAAAGTTGTCAGCTAAGGCGATATACAAATCATATGTGTCGCTAAATATGGCAAAATATATCTGTATGTACGGCCGATATTTCTCTAGAAGGAACCCCACGAAGCTCTGTAATTAACAATAGCTGGGCACGCCCGTCAATTGTTTGCATCGACGCTCAAAGTAGAGCACGATGGTCTGCAGGCAAAGGAGGGCGCGCCCCACTACACTGATGAAGATCTCGGTTGATCTCAAAGCTCTGTTGCAACCAGCTTCCTGCATCTGCAATGGCTTGACTGAGGCTAAAGCTATCTGCACCTGCGATTACCCCTTGTCCGTCCTGGGCAGTGGGCGGCGTCGTTCCTGTCAACGTCATTGGCAAGACACTATTCTGGCTCTGAGGTTGGAAATCACGCAGCATAGACATCTCGGGCCTGCAGGCATCGTCGATGTTCCTCTCGGCATCTGAATTCCTAAGCTCTGAGTGATCCCTCATGCTCGGTGACGGCGATGAGTGCGTGGATGGCGCTATGCGAGTAGCAAGATTGACATCCTCTGATTTCGTTCTCCCAGAGCGACTCTTTGTCGATGAAAGAACACGGTAGTTGCTCTTCTTCTTCTCTGTACTAAATGTGAAAGGAGTGACTGCATCGATGATGCATTGCGTGCTCATTACTGGCAATCCGGTAGCTGGAGGTCTTGATGGCTTATTTGTGATCTTCCCATTGCCGGGGGTATTCACTTGGTAGAACGGTGTGATTTCGTTTGCGGGAGGTGTATTGTGGCTAGGAGTTCGGTGCAAAGGAAGCTCCTCGGGTTCCGGGCTTTCCAAGTCCTTCTGGAAAGATCTCTGAGCGAGCAAAACAGCTGCCTGCGTGGAAAATTGGGCCTCTGGGATAGTATCACCATCATACTCTGTGTCTTGTTTCGACGCAGCGATGGTATGCAGCGATGTAACGAAATCCATCATGGCCGAGTTTCCAGGTACTCGTTGCGCAGAGTGCAACCTTTCGCTAGTATTGCCCTGCATCGATCTGGCTGCCTGAGGATTCCAGGCTGTTTCCATATCGGGAGGATTGGAGAGCGTGGAATCATTCTTTGTCAGAGTATGTGATGCMTGCGAGCTTTCCGATTGGCAGGGATCCGCTGCGTCTGCGAATGAGACGTTTCGCAGTGCAGGCGCTTGAGGCGGACGATCAGCCGTGATATTGGGCACATCTTCCACCTCAGCTACTACTGGTTGCTTTCTCTTGTCCAGGACCATTGGGGAACTGGTATGTTCCTCTCCAGAGGCGGCACGTACCTTCCGTCGACGGTACTCAAACTTAGGTAGTTGTGACGACGACGAAACGATCTGAAGTGAACTGTTCATATTTCCGCCAGGAACAGCGCTATGTTTCTCCGAACCGTTTACTGATAGATTATGCATCGATTCCGTTTCATTCTCCTTCGGCCCACCCTTGCCAGTAATAGATCCCTGGCGGTAAATCACACGTACCGKAGATTCCGCGCCATTGGACGACTCCATGCTGGAATGACTTTGAGACGGAATTGTGTTGGCCGGAAACCGCCGTTTGGATGAGCGAATTGTGGTCGCACGAGCTCTCATATCGGATTGACGACTGGAGACAGTGGTTGTAGGGGATGTGGGAGGATCAACATTCCGGGAATTGATCCAGACACGATCCTTCCTTAACCAAGGAGCATCATTGCTAACAAACGGGCTCGGTTCTTGATCTTGCCCTTGTAGACCTGATAGTCTTGCGCAAGGTATTGACCTCCCCGGTGATGGCTGAGAGGCTATTGAGGCCCCGGATGGGTTTTCACTGGGTGCTCTCCACGACAATGGGCTTTTCGATTTTGTTCGAAGATCCTCATTGCGAAGAGAGGATGGAACATGCAAGTGCGAGAGACCGATCGGAGAATCTGTCCCACGGATGTCCTGCAATTCATGGTACCGTCTCCGCTTCCGAGAGTTGGTCTCCTGTATCACAATCTCTTCCGCTGTGGCCGTATCCCCCGTCGGCCGACCGTCTCGATGCCCAATGCTAGGCACTCTCCTTCTTGACTTTTTCCAAGGGTTCACCCAGTCCCTGTCGAATGGCCCCCGGAGCGAAGCAGAGAGTATGAAAAGCGGAGTGCCATTCAAGTACGACTCAGCGAGCCTCTCAATCCTTTGTCGTCGAGCAGACCAATCAGCTTCATCTAGTTCTTCATCGGAACCGAGTACTCCATCGATATCCATGTCGGAGGCCGAAGGCGAGCATATTTCCAGAGAAAGCGGGGAGGTGGGTGGACGAGGTGGCATCTGGTTGAGATGCGGAGGTCAACGGAGCTAATCGCTTGAAGTGCTGCTGCAGTTCGGTCCTGCATCTGAGCAACTGAATAGGGAAGCACGTCCGCATATATTTTCTCATGTCTTCTGGACCAGCGTATGCTGGTACCTCATGGCTGACAGCTGTGAATTGTCCTAGACAAGTCCACTAAGGTCACATGCGAAAAAGCACTTAACGCGTGTAAATGCCACAGCAACCAGACGTGGAGGCTTATGTAATACTACCAGTCTCGCTAGTCAAAACAATGACATATAGAGAGTACCTCTTGTAGCAGAGGTAGCACATTATGAATATTACAAAAATATGATGGTACCTCAATTTACAGCAGGCCAGTTTACCCTCAACGAATTGAGCTAGCACCATATACCAATCTTTGACGAAGACCTCAAGAGCTGCCGCTTCCTTACTGCCTACAGATAATGCCTTGCTTCTGCTACAACCAGTAGAAGTAGGCCCTCCTCATATTGTATCCACTAAGTCTTTGGACCCCTCGCTTCTGGGGCGTTTCAAATGAGTGTGTATGGACTATCCGTAGACAGGTCTTAGCAACTTATTATTTCTCCGGAAGAGTAATGGATCCGATTATTGCGTGACAAGCACGTAGCGAGAAGCGGGGATGGGCAGTTTGACTGTTATAGCCTAGAAAGAAATCCAAAGTTCATTCTTGGAGTAACAAGCATATGCTGAAGCATCAAGATGTTCCAACACCATCAGTACACTGAAATGGGATATTTGTAATTTGCTTCTTGATCAATGCGTTTCACGATCTGTGAGGAGAGCCTTTGCAGTAATATTAGAGGCCAGAAAACCTGCTGGGGTTGCCCCGACCACCCTTAAACTTATCGATCTCAACCGTGTTCCAGCTCCACTTCCATAACATTATCCTCCGGACTCATAATCAAACATACAGCTTTGCTGCTACACTTTTTGATTGCTAGAGAGCATCTTCATACTCAATTTCCATTTGAATATGCCCCTTCTTCCGACTTCTGCGGTGGTAATTGGTTGATATTGTTGTGGATCCATCTAATGTTTTGTTTGTGTTGCTTACCACTGGTTGTGCAATTCACTGCATCTTTGTGATTGCGAAACGCGCCCGGCTAGCTCAGCGCAAAACCATCATAGAAAATGGGCAACACACCATGGCTGGACAATCTCTCGGACGACTGGGTTTCGACACCAGGCAGCCCAACCAGCCCCGTTCCTTCTCGATCCCTCAACCACTCCCGCCGTTCCAGTTTCCAGAACTCTCCAAGTCGCATTCCGATCCCCGCGCGTCGCTTGGCCGAACAACAATCGCCTGCTGATGGAAAGAAGAAAGTGACTCGACCCTGCCATTTTTACAAGAAGGAGCCTCCGACGCCTAAAACTCCCAGAACGCCGAAGACTCCGTCGAAGTTGAGATCACCGGTACCGGACAAAACAAAAAAAAGCCCCAGGCCCAGTCTGCCTTCCGGGCGTAAACAACAGCCGGCCATGGATGGTAGATCGCCGTTGCGGTCTGTCTCTAATGTCTCCAGCCAGTCCGGCCAGCAGGATACTGTTCAAGTGAGACCGAAGAAACCGAAGGCGAAGGATACCACACCTGAATGGCGGAAACGACTTGTCCATGGAGAGTTGCCTTCTGGCGAGCAGCGAGATTTGTTTGCGCCGATAGGACTGGAAAGCGTTTTCAAACCTCCAACACCAGGCTCAGATACAAAACAAAAAGATGCCTTTGCAAAGATGAAACCAGCCGATGATATGTGGGATTTTACGAATAGCAGCTCCACGCGCAAACACACCAGAAAGCCCAGCAAGCTTTCAATCGAGACGTCCGGAGCGAATAGCGAGGATTCTCTGGTCTGGGATCCTGAGCAGCCAGAAGGAGCAGCGACAGTCCAGAGTGATAACCAAGAACCAATCGGAAGCCCTACACTGTCTTCAAATGGAACTCTGGAGATCAAGAAAGCGCCGGACAAGGACGCACACGATTTAAATGAAAGAAGTCTTGATGCATCCCAGAAGGAGAACCAGATGCGCACTGCAAGCGGATTGGAGGATCTTCGCAATGAAGGTATTACGCCGATTGTTTTCTCGCGGGTTAACACTGTGGAAGGACAGGCCACGTCGGAGGTTATAAAGTCAGCCCTGAAACAAGTGACGAACAAGCTTGAAAGACTTTCGGTGGGTGCGCGGGAGCGTCCGGATTCTAGAGCCAGCGATAGCGTCTTGCTCCATCAACAAAGTGAGCTCGTTGACTCTCTTCCAGAAGATGACCTACTGGATACCACAAGTCATTCTTTGCCTCAGGACCTTTCCACTGGCACTCTGGATTACCGAGGACGTGGCGCCTTTGCCAACCTGCGTGGAGAGCAATATCTAAACGACGGCTTCTTTCCGCAGCGACGGTTTTCTCCGTCCTCCTTTCTCTCTCAACGTCTTTCTCCATATTTGCCCTCAAACTCAAGAATCCGCAGCTCGCCTCCATTTTATAACAAGATTTCTCGTGCTACAGAACCTCCAACTTTACCAAGACCTTCTTCTGCCTACGCTAGAGCACCCAGTGGTGACGACAATCCTATTGCCATGCCCTCTTCTGGGAGTCCTCTCAAACTTTTTGGAAATCATGATACCTTTACCAACAACAGGCTTCTGCGCCGAATGAGCCAGTTTGAGGAAACGTTTGGCGATCTGTCCGAGGAAGATGAGCCGGTTTCGCCTTCCGAAGAGGCCAGGCGTAAAGGAGAGAGCCGAAGTTTCTTGCATGTGAGGCAGGAAACGCCTGGCAATCGCTCCACGAGAAAACAAGAACGGCCACGTTCCCGCAACATGATAAAGCCTAGAATTAGCCGATTTGGTGATGGCGAACTCGATCATTTCGATTTCTCGGATACAAGCCCTTATGAACCCAAATTCTTGAATAATGACGTCGAAGAACCCAACTTCCACCCCTCTTCTCGCCGAAAGCCTTCTGCTAGACGACAACATCCTCGACATAGTGCTTTCGGAAACCACAACCGCGACTTTGAGATACATAGGCCTAGCTCCAGCCGAGATTCAAGAACGAGGCCGCAGCCCAGCGTTGATCAGATGGACAATTCAGACAACTTGGAAAACCAATGGACAAGGGATACCCCAGCCAAGGATCCGAACCCGAAAAGGCGTAGAACAATTCTCAGCCTTGATATCTCGGGAGGTGAAGTTTACGGGGTAAGGGAGGGCAACGGTCAGCCGACTGATAATTTGTCCCTACTGCAGAGAAGCTTGATCCAATATGGCGTGGATCATGTTAACGAGGAGTCGCTTCTTCCACAAGAATCCACGCCGAGACCCAGGACTCCAACCCCAAGTCAAACAAGGTCCTCGTTGAGGAAGAGGTCTTCGTCTAACAGAGACGGGTCGCATCGTGATCTAAACGCCCGCACAGGCGCAACGTCTCCGCAGGAGGCGAAAATACCGATGGTGAGGGTGACAGACGTCAATGAACAGATCCGAAAGGGGTCAATCACGACGCAAGATTTCTTGAACGAAGCAACGAAAATTATGGACATAATCCGAGCAAAGGGCAAGCCCGCCGGGGGTCTCTCAAGCGTCGAGGAGTCTGATACCGGGGGTGATGACGCCGAGACTTACGAAGATGAGTCAACTCGAGAAGAATTCTCGCGCCCTCCAAGTCGTGAAGGTGTAGATATGCGCAAATTACGAGAGCCTAAAGAGCCTAATCCTCGGATCTTGAGCCATCTCAAGAGATTCCAGGAACATGATGACCCGGAATTTGGTGTCAACTCTTCCGTGATGTCTCTGCACCTGGAGAATGGTGAGAGTAAAGGAGGAGAGAATCCTGAGAACCAGAAACGAAAATACCCTGGCAATCTGACTGAGGAACGACATACTGATGTGCACCCTCCCCTGACGATGGACACCCATGTTTCCTCCAAAAGCCTGAGTTCACGCTCCATACCCACTGCCTCTTCATTCAGCTCGCATGCGAAGGGAGTGTTGTCTTCCGATATTGTATCGCGTTTGATTCCCGAACAGGTGAACGGGTTTACTTATGATCGTTCCAAGCACCAATGGGTCAAAGAGAAACCCGAACAGTCCCAAGAGAAGCCGAAGGGTGACGATAGCGAGGAGGACCCTTTCAAGGATATCCCAGACCTCAGCGTCGATGAACTACAGGAAATGATGAGGGTACACAGTTTATCCTCGCCCGACAAAACAAGAAGCCTTCCGAGTCAAAGAGGTGCAAACCTCACAAGTTCTGTCGGTACCAGAATATCCGACTCGAAGTCTGGATCTGGCTCACAACCAGCTGTTGTCGAGGCGCCGGCTAGCGGTAGTACTCTTCGTTCCAAGTTAACGCGCTTTACTTTTAGCGCCCCGAATTCAGAAACGGGAGCCACTTCATGGGGTACGGACGAGCAGAGAGACACTGAAACTTCAAGTGAAGTTGAGCACGAGATCCAACTCCATGAAGGGCGCTTGTCAAAGCCTCCACGACATGACCGAGACATTCATCATCAGGCCCGGGTCGTAACGATCAGCTTCTCATCTCCTCTAGTTTCGCATATTGTGTATAACGATGGAAGCCAAACAGGATCCGTACGTCACGCGGCGAGTACGGTCGAGCAAGGTGCTGGAACTACAGCACAAGGGGCATGCGGCCCGCGGCCTAGCCGACCTTCTCAACTTATCGCAAACCGTGGCTCTCCGGGAGGACGGACTTTCCTACAACACTTGCTCTCCAAAACAGAAGATAAAAGTAAATTCGCGGACAATGACCTAAGCATACTCCGAGGAGATTTTGGCGAGATAGAGTCTACGCCTGACAAGGATCATCCAGAGAACTCCATGATGTACCTCACACAAACTGGCTCGGATACAACATACAGTTTCCATCTCAGTCCTCTGCCTGACTTTACCGCAG